GATGTGATTGCACTTACCAAGAAAAAAAATCCAGAGAGATTTCGAGTATAACATAACTATTCATAAACAGTTGCAAGAGGCTTATTTTTTATGTCACCGAATTGATTTAACATCTGTTGTTCCTGAATGAAAAGGGAGTTTGTCCTTTTCCTTATCTGTATGAATATATTTCTTTCATCTGCTTTAACCGAGTTCGCACTCATGCATTTCCAAGCAAAAGGCAGCTGCAACAAGCCAGACCCCCTTCTGATTTAGTCACCTTATCTGCCTTGATATACCACCTAAATCTCCAAGTACTCTATAGGTTATTTTCATAACTATACCTTTCAACAACCTATCGTTCACCAACCAATAACATCTATAAAATCACTGTGCTGCATTACACATTCCACACAGCAAAACACTCATTGCCATAACAATTAGCCTATCATTACCATCTTTCCAAAAGCTCCAAAGCAATCTGCAGCTTTCCATTAGCAATAAGAAGATGAAGCAAATTATCTTCTTCTCTCTCCTCCTAGTACTGTTTGTTCCCATATTGTCTACCACCATTTTAGCCCAGTCACCTGCTGCAGCCCCTAAATCCCCAGCAAAACCGGCTCCTATCACACCAGCTCCAGTACCAGCAAAACCATTAGTCCCCTCATTACCCCAATCACCCATGTCTGATTCTTCTTCTGGTCAAGACATCATCAAAATTCTAAGGAAGGCTAAATCATTCAACACACTTATCCGTTTGCTCAAAACTACCCAGATCATCAACCAAATCAATGCACAGTTGGTAACTTCAAAATCTGGTGGTTTAACCATATTTGCTCCTGATGATGGTGCTTTCTCACAACTCAAAGCCGGTTACTTCAACTCTCTGGCTGAGCGCCAACAGAAAGAACTGATACAGTTCCATGTTCTTCCAGTTTATGTCTCAAGCTCTAACTTTGATTCTCTTAGCAACCCTGTGCTGACACTGGCCAGTGATAGCCCAACCGGGTATCAAATAAATGTAACTGCTTATGGGAACAGTGTGAATATTTCAACTGGGGTTGTGAATGCCACCCTCACAGGCATTGTTTACTCTGATAAGACACTTGCTATATATCATGTGGACAAGGTGCTTATTCCTTTGGACTTCTCTAAGCCTACGGCTGCAGCTCCAGCACCCAGTTTGGCAAAGGCACCTAAAGCTGATAAGGAGAACTCATCTGCAGAAGATGATGATCAGGGAGACACAAAAAAGGCCACTTCTAGTGCTACCTCCATCAATTTAATTAGCGTTCAAGGATCAATGTTGGTGTCCCTTGGTGTTGCTTTAGTCGCAGCAGTAACTTTGTCCTGTTGAGGAAGACCCATTTGCTGGTTGTTTACATGCTGTGTTGTTTTTGTCAATTTATCTTTATGCGCTCTCTTTTTATTGGTTTTGTCAGTAGTTGGAGGAATAGTGTTATTTGAGAGCTACGAGAACCCTTGCCTAATTTTCTTCAAATAAAATTATGGCTATTTTGTTGTGAGAAAATGAATTGATTACATGATTTTCTTATATTATGCTTTGAAATTGTAAACATTTCATCTACACTTAAGGTAGAAAAATTGTCATCTTTCTATATTGGGACTTTGGAGAAGGGGAGAAGCATTCTTATTATAACAATTCTAAATGAGATTTTTATAATGGTGAATTTAATTGCATATGCTTATACAATATAATGAAGTCATATGCAATATTTGGCATTACTTACTCTGAGCTGTAAAAGTTTATCCAATGCAGTTCTTTTACGCAACTTTTGGCTTTTTGCTGCAGTAGATTTGATGGTAAAAATGTTATATAAGGTTTCCATGTGTGTGAAGTTCATAATCTCCATATGGAGTCCTACAAATACCAAACACATTATGATTTCAAGGTGTGTTTAGATCAGTTCTAAAAATGTTATTTTAATATAATAGCATGAATAATTATTTTTATAGTCGACTATATAATAAATTGAGTTATCCATTTTCTAGCCAGTTTTACAGCCCTGTGCTACGCTTAATGCTCATAGAAACTTAATTTTGAGGGAGTCAAAGCTAGCATGGGATAGTTTAATAGTGTTGGGGAGTGCACTCTAATGTCAAGAATCATGTTCAAGTGGTGATTGTACAGAACAAAATTTCTTGAGCATATAGTAAAATGTCTGAAGTATGTTGCATGATCACATTGTGTTGGATGACAAAATATGGACATTGTTTTGTGTTTAAATGAATTTGAGGCTTCTGTTTTTGACTTATGCTGCCGAGGTGATAGAAGACTTTCAAACTGCTGAAATTGCATTTTTGGAGTTACATGTATTTAAATTGTTGTTTTAATTATGAATTATAAGTTGGCTAAGGTGCTGAACTAGTATAGTCAGGGGTCCGGATTCAAACAGCTTTGTTATTTGAATAATTAAAAATTGATACGTATTTAATAGGGTTTGTAGTTATTTTTGTTTACTTTTACTTTTTTTTATAAATGTACATCTCTGAAATATGTCTCAACTGTAAAAAGGACGTTTGAAAACATGCATTAGTGTTTAGATAGACAAATTCTAAATGACTATATTAAATATTTGAACACAAAGAAAAAGTATAATTATAATTTCAGAAATTTAGTCAGAAAATTTCATGTGAAACAGAAAAAATTTTAAATGACATTATAATTTTTTGTAATTACATATCATTCATAACTTCTTTAATATTTGATTCTCATTTTAAATTCTTCATAGTAAATTTCATATTATATAAAATTCTAAAATTTTTCATCTAAACACAATATAAAAGTTTCTTGCAAGTGATATAAAAAAACATTCTTCTTGGGCAAAAGGATTGTAATACAAGTCGCAAAGTGATTTATGAATGAATTCTGATGTAAATTTTGAGTATTTGTATGACTCCCTATATAAATAAATTAATTTTGATTCTTAAAAATATATATAAATTCTATTTTATGTTTAGATACGCTAACTGAAAATAAATTTCGATTATATATTGTGCTGAAATATTCACCCTCTGCATGTGGGGTTCACAATCATCAACTACGTAATGATCCTCGAGCTGGCAGCCATTTTCGTAAACACCACGTTATTTCCTCTTTATGACATTTTTTTTATGGTTTGTACAAATGGGAGAAACTCGATCAAAACAATTTCTACAAACTGAATGTCTTACTTTCAGTAATTTGTTTGCGTAATCTTTTAAATATTATGGAAAATGATGTAATGGTTTTTTTTTTATCCTTGTGAAAGGATATCTTTATCCAAACAGAAAATAGTCATTGTCTGATTCGATTGATCGGCAAACAAATAATATGAAATGTCATACATTCCCATTATATGTTAATAAAAATTATTGGAGGAAATAAATGATTGAATACAGACTAAGAAGAAATTCTTCTCAACTATGAAATAAAGGAAGCCCACCCTAATATTAAACATAGGGTCAATTATTTGATATTCAAATAATTACAATTACTTTTCTTTTAATGTATCTTCTCTTCTTTTAGTGTATTTTCACTATTTTGATTACTCCAGGTTCAGGGCGCTTTTTTATTATTGTTATTTTGTGTCTTATTAACTTCATTTTCTTTTTTAGTGATCTTATATATAGCACCGGAAAAAAAAAGCCTATTTGTGGGAAAATCAAGGCAACTTGTTCAGAGACTAACCTCTGGCCTATTGTTAGCTCCAATTTATGCCTTAATGAAACAATAAAATCTTCATTTTTATTAAATGAAATTACAAATCATTGAGATGCGATACAATTAAAGCAAATGTTGTATAGAACAAAGTTAAAGCATCTTGAGTTTATTTAATATAAATTTTGTGGTACCTTAAAAATTTTTAAGATACAGTATATAAAAAATTTTAATTAATAATATTTAAATACGTGTTTAAATAATAAATTTATTTAATTATTATTATTATATTTATTATATTTAAACAAATTGAAGAGTGGTTAAATTTTTAAAACAAAATACAATTAAAATTAAACAAACTAAAATATAAAAATAAAATAATATTATTATATTTATATTTTTCATATTCTTAATTTTATTATTATTAATATTTAATTATTTAATTATTATATTAATATATTATGTTATAATTCTTTTTATTTATGATAAATAAAAATTACTTAAATATAAGTTATATAATAGAATCATGTAATAAATAATATAATTTTAAATAAATTATATATAATAACATTTTTTTTTACTTTGTTACATATCTCTTTTTTATTGATATAAATTTTTTGGATACAATATTCCTAAAAAAATATTTTAAAGTACTGTAGCACACACCTTTATTAAATTAAGAAAAATGACGTTTATTTCTTAACTAGTGCTGCTTTTAACTGAAACTATTTAAACTAAAAATAAAACATAAAACAAAATCCAACTAATTAATTAGTTTTTTCTTTATAGTTGTTGATACAATAAAGAGCTAAGTAAACTCAAAAATCGCGCGAGTCGTTAATCCATTTCTCCAAGGAATTTGGGATATAAGGTGTGAAGAGTTGTAGGTACATGAAGAAAATGGTAGGTTTCAAGTGTGATTCTTAGTTCCGCTGTCCTTATTACCAAAACTTGTGATAGACAATGCCACTTAGGGAACTGATAATTTGATTTCCTTTTCTTGCCAAATATAATAAATCAGCCTCTATAGAGACATGCCAATAGCCCCTTTTTCAACTACATTTTCAGGGACAGAGTAATTGATTGTAACTAAGATGTGAAAGCAAAACAGTTGCATACATGCACATTACAATAATGTACCTTCCTTATGAGCTCCTACTCCTTTATCCCTTCCCAATCTCTTCTATCTCACACAACTAATCAAACAAGATGCACCACCTTTCTATGCCCATGATAGGTAAAGAAGATTTCCTACTTGCTACAAGAAAGATGAAACTTACCTAAACCTTGCACCAATACACAAACTACTCTCCCCCTGCCTCAAAATAAAAGGCAATCCATTCTCCCTCTTTCCTCACACAACACAACACTACCAATTAATAGTAGCAATCTCAAAGTGTCCTACTCTTAAAACATTCCATTTCCACCACTTCCCCAATCATCATAACACCAAAATGAAGACACAACAATCTCTCTTCTCAGCCTCAATTCTACTACTAGCACTTGCCTTCTTCCAATACACTTCAGCCCAACTCTCACCAATTCAGTCCCCCGTGTCAGCTCCCCCAGCACCACCACTACCACATCCACCAGTCACAGCACCAGCACCAGGATTCAACACAGTTCCCCTAGTGCCAGTGTCACCCTCCGGTGCACCCACACCCATCATCCCAAAAGCTCCCTCCATTGACATAGTCCAAATTCTGAGAAAAGCAAAGAGATTTTCCACTCTCGTTCGCCTCCTCAAGACCACCCAATTGATCAACCAACTAAACTCACAGCTACTAACCTCAGGCTCTGGAGGATTGACCCTTTTCGCTCCAGAGGACAATGCCTTCTCAAAGCTAAAAGCAGGGTTCCTCAACTCCCTCAGTGACAGACAAAAAGTGGAGCTGCTTCAGTTCCACACCCTCTCTTCTTTCATCTCAATCTCAAACTTCGACACACTCACCAACCCAGTTCAGACTCAAGCCGGTGACGACTCCAAACGCTTGCAACTCAACGTCACCACTTACGGTGGCAGCCAAGTCAGCATGGCAACCGGCGCCGTTAACGCCACCGTTACCGGAACCGTTTACACGGACAGCAAGCTTGCCATATATCAGGTGGACAAGGTGCTTCTCCCTCTTGACCTCGTGCTTCCTAGCAAGGCTCCGGCACCCGCACCTTCCGCCAAAACCAAGACCGATAAAACGAAGTCGTCAAATGTTGACGGTGCTGCCGCCGGTGACGATGGTGATAGTGATAGTGGTGATAACAAGGACTTGCCAGCGGAAGCTTCTGCCGGTTCGAAATTCAATGTAGAGGGAATGTGGGTTTGTGTTGTTGTTGGGGTGGCTTTGATTATATGATATGATATGAGGTGGATGTAAAAGGGTGAGTGGTTCGTCCAATAATTTTGTTGTGCTGTTAGAGGTTTTGTTAGTGATCCTCATCCATTGTTGTATTTGCCTATTTGCTATTCTTATCTAATGGTTTGCATGTAGCTTACGATATATATGGTCGATTTCTTCTTCGTTTTTATTAGTGCAGTGCGTGAATGTTTGGTAAAAATAATTGCTTATTTTTTCGTGTAAAAAGTAAAAACTCTGAAAAAACAGAAAAATATGTTTCTATTAATTAATCTCAATGTGTGTGTAACTTCTGTTTTATTTATCTGTTTAGGTAGAAGTTTAAAAGGATCAGTTATTATTTTTCATATTAATATATTTTATTTACATTAAATATTTATTACATTTAAAATAGTTTTAAAGTAAAGGATTTCATTGACAAAAGGTAAAATAATAAATTTTACGATTAATTTTAACCAAAAAATTTGTTTTCTTGAATTTCTTACTATGGGCATTAATCAGTGCTTTGCATGTTAATGATTTATTCGATACCATTCAAGATGATATATGATACTCGATAAATATTCGTCATTAGTTAGGAAAGGAAAAACTTATTTTGATCATTTGTATGTTTGTTATTATGTGAAGAATATCTTCTCTGTCCCTCTCGTCAATAAGAATAATCTTACTTTTACCAAAAATAACTAGAAAATGCATGGTAATTATTGAAAGTTCTTGTGAGCTCACGAGAGCTTTTTGGGGTTGCTACCAAATTAATATGCAAGGGCCAATGGTTCATATTTTGGCACTATAGAACTCTTACATTAATATATTACATATTAATATTTAATATTTGATTCATTTATAACTGTAAAATTATTCATAAATATCTTATAATTTTAAGAATTTTTTGAAAAAAATATTCTCTAAAAGTTTGTTTGTAAAATTAAAAAATTATATGGTCAATTTTATATCTTTGTAAATTAGTATCACTATATGTACTTTAAAATCAAATTAATTATAAATAAATCTTAATTTATTACTTTACAAATAAATTTACTTTAGATCATGAAACTTATTATTATTATTATTTTATTGTTTTTTTAGCATGTAGATTTAATGCAATATTAAAAATTTAATCCGAGTTGAAAACGATTCAAGTTATTAAATATTTAAAAAAAAAACTAAAAGAATGGGTTGTGACAACCTTTGTGTACAAGAAACTTTTTTAGATAAATTCAATTGAGTTAAATTAAGATTGGAATTCTTATCCAGGAGAGGTGTGATTTTTGAATGTTGAATGTTTTTGAACTTTTCTAACAGTTTGTATTCATCTGGCTTACCACTAAATTACCAAGAATAATGGAACTAAATTTTTAAAACCTAATTCTTACCATATATCAAATTAATTATTGAAGACAATTAATTGGACTTCGCCTATTTCCACAGTCACACTTGTTCCATTTTTTTTTTATTTTTTGGTTCGTGACCCATTCCATTATACGTGCATATAAATACAAATTATGTTTTAAGTTCTGGGCTTTCGGTCCAATAGTCTAAAGCTCTTTTAGGATCAATTATCATGTTACAGCCTAATTGGGATGTATCATTTATCTTTGATCATTACTCTTGCTTGTGACTTTATCCCATTTGAAAGGTTAAAAGACAGAATTCAAAATCAAAATTAAAAATGCCAGAGATAAATAATATAAATTATTGATTAAATTTCAATAAAAATTTGATATATATTTAATTTTGATTTATACACGTGAAGTTTGTAAATTTATTTTTCATTTTTCAAATGTAACGTGTAATTTTTAAAACTATTGTAAATGACTTACATGAATATTTCTATAGAACAAAAATGACTTAACTAATTCGAATGGAGTAAAAATATTTATTAATTTATTAAAATAAATAATAACGCTGTAAAGCAAATGCATAAACTACTTTAGGATTGTAAAACGAGTTAGGTTAGAAAGATAAAAGGTAAACCAACCATCCAATCCATGCTGTTTTCCCTCTGTTTTAAAAGAACAATTCTCAATTGGATAATGACAAATGTACACTTCATTTTTCGGGGTTGTAAAAGGTAGAAGAGAGATTAAAAAAAAAAGTAAAAATAATAAAAAATATGATAAGCAATATATGAAAAAAAAAGGGGAAATAAAAGTCATAATTAATCTCCCTCAATTTTAGTGGGTGGAGAAGCTTGGTCCATAGATTTTATTTGTTTAATGATCTTTATACAAACCCTGTATCATCAAGTCAGTTGCAGGACTGAGTTAGACTTGGGTTTTAGCATATTTGATTAGATTTTTGGGAGTGGGGGACTCAATTTCAATCCAGCTGATTTTATTATAACATGTAGCTTCAATTGAATATTTTTATTAAAAATTTTAATATATAAAATCATCAAATTTATCAAAATATATAAGCATAATTTCATAGATAAATACATAAAATATAACCTTAAATTAATTCATGAAAAGACAAGATATATATTTCAAACAATCCATTAATATAAGTCTATATTCTAAATATATTTTTAAATTAATTTTCTATCGCTGAATTGACTTTCATGTATATAGTTACTTGCTCCTTTTGAAATTTAGTTGATGTCTTAATTAATCTTAATACTAAATTTCAACAGCTTTTGCGATGACCATTTCCAACATATATCATTTCATTATTTCCATTTTTATAATGGCAAAAACCCATATGATTTGGAAGATCTCCATGAATTTGTTTAATTAATTAAATGAAGCATTTAGAGAACAAAAAGGGTAGCGTACTTTTGAGCCATAGAAACAACACATTTAAACTATATTAATAAGTACCTCTCTGCCAATTTGCTTCTTCTTGTGATGCACATTAGAAGGAGTGACCAATTATTGATTCCTTTCTTTTATTTTATTAATTTGTACGTACGCTGCAGGGACCAATATTAAATTGATGCTTTGGGGGGTTTCCTTCATCCTAAGGTAAGAAAATGTGTGTTTCTTAATTAAGAAATTGAAAATTTCCGTGGTCGGTCATTTTGTTAGCCATGCAAACAGCAACCCTACAAGAGAGGTAAACGGAATGAATCTTTGTGACTTTGCTGTGAGGAAAGGCATTTCATTAAAGCTTAAAGCATTGCCTTTATTTATTTCTACCAAACGCCACAAATTTAATCAAAGAGGTCACTCGCACCTTCCACCTCTGCCCACTTGGCACAATCTCATGCAGACACAATGCACTCTTCCTATGGTTGAAATGAGTGAAACTAGGATAAAGATTCAAATTAATATCGACAATATCTTTTTTGTTTTCTTTTTACAATCGTATTTTTCAATATGAAGGAAAATGTATTTCTAACGCTCTAGACTATTCAAAAATAAATAGTATCTGTCAATTTTATTTTATCTTATTTATTATATAAGGCATATGTACCAACTTTGAGTTGAGCTCAAATTGTTTGAAGAAAAACTCAAACCAGTAATAGGAAAGGTTATGTCAGCTCTTTGACATTTACAAATTAGAAGGATATATATTTCTTTTATATATTCTCTAAGAATTTAAAAGGAATTAATTCTTGTGATTGTGCATTTAAGTTGTATTAAGAACATTGATATGGGATGAGTCCAGAACGATAAAAACCTATGACAACGCTAATGTAAGGAGAGCCGCAATCGAATAAGGAATTTTTGGAAAACTTTAGGAGAAATTTTTAAATAAGAAAAATAGTATATAAAAATAATAATATTTTAAAATAAACTAAAAATAATTTATGCTTCCCTAATTTTTGAGAAATTCTTTTATTTAATTTTTTTAAAATTTGAAGAGATGAATTATTTTAAATTTATGAGAAAAAATTAGTTATTACTCATATTTTTTATAAAGACTTTTTCTAAAAGTTCATAACTAATAATATTAAAGAATTTTACCTTCTAACTTTAAACCAGCGATATGAATGACTGAGACTCAAGAAACGAGACTATTCTTTTTTTTTAGTGGAATCTTGGGATGACGGGATTTGAAAAACTCCTTTGCATTACTATGAATCCAACCTTCCATTGAGTTGTCCATGAAGAAAACAGAGACCTAGCTTCTTATAATAATAGGATTCTTTTATTTTACTTTTCTTTTTTGTTTAGGATCTAGTAACCAGTAAGAAGTTTTTAAACGTTAAATAATTAACTATATATTTTAGTTTTTATAAAATGTTAAATCTAATACTTTTTAAGAAACCCTTCTTGGTACCAAAAACATTGAATGAAAATTAACTAAATAAGATAAAGAATTTTCAATCTCTTCCATTTTCAATAAAAATTATACAAGCCATTAATTGATAAAATTAGAACTTGTCAATTATTTACAATGGCATTCATAACAAATAACAAATCACATATTTTATTTTCCTTTCATTCCACGTCGACAGTCGATACAAGTTCACTTAATGCATTTGAATACTCTTAAGACGTACAGATCATTCTAATGCTACCGGGGTCATTGCCTCACCATTTGATTTTATTTTTTTAAATACCGTTTCATCTTCATTTTAGTTTTTATTATGTAATTTGTCTATATAGAATATCACATAATAATAATAACAGCAGCAGCAACTCTAATTTACATTATTAAAAGTCCTAATTATATTTCGAAAGAGTAAATTATGAAACAATAATATTTGAATATTTTTATAGTGAACCATTCGGCTTAGAAAAACGTGGCCAGAGTGAATCATCTTAGCCGGCGGAGTAGGTGAACTAATAACCCCAATCAGTTTGGAATTTGTCAATAAAAATAACTGCCTAGAAACAATTAAGATTGGAAACTTTGAATTGTATCACAGGTTAAAAATTCGGACAATAAGTTTTCTCGTTTAAGATGATTTACTCGACCCTGTCCTGAATCTATTAGGTACAAACACATGATGTTCAGAAGAAGAAGAAGAAACTTCAAACTGTACCCATTGGTAAAACTAGTACATTCTTTTAATATTCATGTTTTATTGTCAGCCGGTGCCCTTGGATTAGGTCCATTAAGAATTTCAATATGGCATAGCAAAAATAAAAGAATAAAATATACCACATGCAAATTAGAAAACATCTCTGCATGAAAAGGAAAGAAAACCACAAATATAGAAGTGTTTTAATGAATGGCCATGAAATTTTAAAAATATATCATTAATATAATTTTAATATTAATTATTATAAAAATTAATAATTTTTATTGCTATATAATTTATGATTGAATGACACCATATGTGTTTCAATTAAATTTTATATACTAATAATTTTATAATTTTAATAAAAATAATTATTTATTAATATTTTTCACGTGACAATAAAAGGAATGGTATTATTCTTATTATTATTATTAATGACTGAAACAAATGAAAGCGTGTGGTAAGCGTTAAGTGTAATCGTGAGTCACTCGGTGACAGCACTACCACAAATATATACCCAGACCAAACAATTTGATGCTTTTGGTGCGGGTCAAATGAATCCAACGTAAGCATAACCTGTTTCTTCCGCATTCGAAGAAGTCCTGCATTGACCGTGCACCACGTGGCTTCGTTTTAGGTTTTGACTTTTCACAAAATGTGGTGGACAGTGTTTCGTACTCCAAGTTACGTCGTTTTATGCTTGCTATCTCATTTAACTCATCTGCTCGTCACCATGAAGGTCCTTTGTTTTAAATAAATTTTTGCGTGGTCTTAAATGATAAGCTATCTATAATTTTCGTTATTCATAGAGTCACACATCATAAAATTTCAATATTTTTTATTTTAAATTTAAAATATTTTCAAATATTATTCATGAATGACCCATATCGTGCCTAAACAACTAATTATCGCATACCACATAAATTTCATCTTTATAACATTATAAATTATAGTTATATTTTTTATAATTTATTTTTCTTGTCTCTCTTCAATATATTCTATATCTCTTATATTCTGCATTCTCTCTCTCTCTTTCTTAGTTGTAGAAATATTTGTAAAATACGGAAAGAAATTTTCTATGTAGGTTAACATACACATATTACAAACTCAATAATATAAACATGGCTCTAGGCGCTTAATTATAACAATTCAATAATGAGAATAAGCTATACCAACAAATGATCGATCTAAGATATTTAACATATTAGTTCATTAGATTTCATTAAATGTATAACTCTTGTAGTTCATGTAGACGGATTTTAAAATTCATCTCTTCAAAGAAATTTACCAGACCAACCGTAAGTGTGTATATATGTAATTTAAAACTTTAATTGAGAATGTCATCTAGATAAATTTTGAATAGGGAATAGATAATTGAGTATGTCATGTAGATAAAAGTCAATTTCCATTCGCAAGTCTAAAGATTTATACATATGAGTATATAATAATTTTTTACATTTATGATAATCTTATGAAAATTGATATAAATTATGATGATATGCAATCAAAACTAAAAGGCTTTAATGGAATATTCATGAAAGGTTTCATGTTGTGTTCACTAAGTCGAACTCCTACCCTCCTCACTTTCATTTCAACTTCTTTTAGACTTTACTTGGAGTTTTCGGAGAAAGGAATGAGTTATGTTATAGATACTATTATTTAGGAATTTTTATATAAAAGAAAAATAATTTATAAACTTTTAAAAACTCTGATAATTATATATTTTTAAATTTTGTTAATTTAGAGGATTTTTTATTGTAATCATCTTTCTTTTTTCTTCCTTATCTTTTGAATAAATTAATCAATTCTAATTTAGTCAAGTAATATTGCACTTTTATTTAATTTAACAATATTTCATAAGTAACAATATAATGAATTTATTAAATATATTAATCAATTCAAATTAATTTTAACTAAAATTTAATGTACAAATTTACTTAACATATTGTTATTCATTTAAATTCAATTTAACTAATTAAATAAAGTACAATTTATTGTAATATTAAAACAATTAAACTTATTTAAACAACTTTAACTAAAATAACTAACCAAGTATATTTTATATTATTAATAAAATTATCAAATTAAACTTATTTAAATATTTTTTAACTAATAATTATTGAAAATAATAATAAATAAATCTTACTAACCTGGTAAGTACTCTCAATTTTTTTCAAGATTTTTAAATATTTCAAAATAAATTTTTGCAAATGTATCTTGACCATTATTTTTGTACACAAGTTTTTTTCAAATAAAAAGTAATAATTACATCAATTTGTCCATGAGATTATATGCATGTGAGAACCTCGTTAAGTTTCACTTGTACAACATTCAAAATTTATAAGTTCATAACACGTAGCACAATCATATCAAATTTCATCTAATACATAAAATTTATAAAATGATAATGCACGACACAATTACAAAGAGTTTTATCTTCCTAAAGATGAAACTATTTTCACACAATGACATAAATAAGTTTTGTCTTCCGTAAGAATAAAAATCTTTGGAATTGTAAAATGTGTCATAACTCTTCGGTTTTAGTCTATCTAAAACTTGCAATAATGTGACAAAAAAGTATATATAAAAAAATTATTTAAAAAAATATTAAAAAAAAGAAGAAGCCAATTTGATGAAAAGAGAGACATGTTTCTCTTTTGTGCAATGAGTAGTTAGTGTTCTTTGTAATTTTTTCTATTGCGACGTTTTTTATGATTTGTATGAAGGTAGTTGTGTTTTTTTTTTAACTATTATTTTATGAATATGTACGAAGAATGTGGAGAAAAAGAGATTTAGATTTTTTGCAATTTTAGCGACATCCATAACATACAGTCTAAAAAAGTAATTTTTGTTTAAATAAAAAAATTATTTAAATCAAAATTATAAACAAATTTAAAACTTTTTTTTTATTTAAACTATGTTGAGTAATTTTTTTGGCATAAACAAAAATTATTTTTTTATTAAATTTTCTTTAAAAAAATTATTTAAATAAATTTAAACAACATAAAATCTAGATTAAAAAAATGTCGTCATATGAAGGGACCAATTTTACACATTCATTAATATAAATAGTGTACAACTCAGTAGTTCCTAGCAGGGTGTAATTGAATTATTCAACTTTAGATTGGTCAACTTAATTTATTTAATTAGTTAAATAAATAAATTTAAAAGTAAAGTTAGACTTAATTATTAAAATAATTTAAACTCAAATTTTATACACTTAATATTAATATTTCATGAATAGTTCATACACACACACACACACACACATATATATATATATATATATATATATATATAGATAATTACAATTTTATTTACTATATTTATTATTATTATTATTATTATTATTATTATTATTATTATTATTATTATGTGTATATTATTTATTTAATATTAATTTTTAAGAGTTGTATTTTAAATAAGTAATTATAGTTTTTTAAAATTATTTTTATAATAAAAATTTATTTTCAACCTTAAATAATTTATGTAAATAAATTTATATTTTATTAATAATTTAATTTTTAATATAAAATATTAATTAAATGATAAATTAATAAAAAAATTATTTAAAAATTATAAACAAACTAATGTATCAAAATTTTTAAAATTATTCACCAATATCAAGTTTTAAATCTAACTCATTTAAATAAATGAGTTAAATTTGTACATTGTTTTTGTAAATTGAGTTAAACTTTAAGTGCACGAATAATTTATTTATATTTTTAATTTTTAATAAGTTTAAATTCACATATTAATCACATGTGCATTTTAGTTGTCACCTAATAATATGTCATGTGACTAATTTTTATTATTATTATCCGACTAGAATTATTACAGGAACAGAATGAAAATAAATTGGCTAGTGATTACCCCGTAATTTATGTTTTGATAGTTTTTTTTTCTTATCAACGGGGCTTATATGTTTTGATAGCTTTAGAAACAAACGTAATTTATCAAAATATTGTTAATAAATGAAATAAATGTAAACAAATAAATGTGAGGCAAACATTTTTTAACGAGCTTTATTATATCTTTATACATATTTTTTAAAATAATCTTTTTATTACTCTATAAAATATTGTTAGAAAAACACTTAAATGAAAATAATGTATGGAATTAAATAAAAATAAAGATAATAAGAATGATTTTAAAAATGATTTAAATTATCAATATATTTAATATTGCTTATAAAAATAAAATTTAACAGGAGAAATAATAGTAAAAGAAGTTATTATACGGAAAACACATGGTTAGATGTTAGAATTGGGTACCTTGAGTGGCCTGCTTCGAGATTCGCAGCGGTCAACTTGGCGTTTGGAGTGGTGCGTTGTGGTCAAAAGAGCCAAACAAACTCGCCATTTACCTCCAAATTACAGCTAAGCTAAGCACACCATTTTAATCCACCCTCCACGCCCCTCATAATCGCATGGCCCCATCACTTTTCTCAAGTCAACCCTCCTTCCTCTTCTCTCCCATTACTTCTTAATCCCTTTTTAAATTACTCTTATTTATTTCTGACTAATGTTTTTAAATCAAATTTTATGCTTTTCATTTTAAGACAATTCAAATCAATTTAAATACTTACTGCATTTTACGAATCCATCGCATTGGAATGTTTATTTTTTAATTCACGAGTTTGATTCACCCGGTCTGACTTTTGTGCTTAAAATAATTGTATCATTTATTCTTCTGAAAAAAATATATTTTTCATGTTGTTAAAAGAGTAAATTCATAGAGTAAGAAAAAAGTTATATCGAGTTTTAACTCAATTAGATTCAAAGGCAATTTCATGATTGAAGCCAAAAAGTAAAACTCTATTTACTCAAGAATAAAATATGGGCCAACTCATTTTTTGAAAAATGTTAACAATATAATAATTTTTGCTGCTAAAATTATATGAAACACAACATTAGTAGAAAATAGTTAATCGGGATAAATTATTATTATAATACATAAGTTACCAATGTTACTCTGCATGAAGGTAATTCTGTCAAGGGATTATTACTGCGAAGTTATTAATCGAGGTAAGAAAATATATGGGATTCAAAAATATATGGTCATCTACCCATTTTGAATTAAAGCAAACAAAGTAGTAATAAAAATAAAAAAGCTCTAAACGGTAGTAAATGCATCCTATTTCCTTATCTTGTGGGGGCAAAAAGAAACATGATGCACACATACCAAGGAACTGCAAACAGTGTGGACTTTGGGCAAGTCTGAAATCATAACCAAAGAAAGCAAGAAAGAAAGGCATCAAAGGTACCTCACACACTATCTCGTCTACAAAGTCAAAACCAAAAACAACACAACACAGAGCCAGCAAAGAACCTTAGTGTTACTATCAATTACCATTTAAGCCTCATCTGACAAAAGGCAGCAAAAACCTCAAACTATTCCAAGAACACCATAATTGTAATTTCTCACAAAAGCCAACCCCATCCTGTTTTCGGTTGACAAGCCAAACCTATCTTTAACCACCTCTCTCTTGCTCTTCCCTGTCTTGCAGCAAAGCAAAGAGAAACCAAACTCAAAAAATAAAAAAGAAAAAGAAAATGAATGGACTAGAATCTGCATGATCAATCCGTCAAACATAGGAAAGTCATTTTCACGAAGGCTGCATCGAAATTCATACAGGATAGAAAAAATAGAAATAGGGAGAACAAAGTCTTTGGAAATTCAGTCACTTTTTTTTTTTCCTGTGTCTCATATTCATACGCGGATTCGGCTGAATTTTTAATTCTCTCTCTCAATTTCTTTCCTCATCGGTTCTTCTTAACCCTTTGAACATTCAAACACCCACCCAACAACAACGACAACAACAACTGTTTCATAGTCTCCCTCCTATTCTCTTGCGTGTGCCGTTTGGAAAACGAGAAAGTTTTTCCCAGAACATCCCCCAGATCTGAAAGTTCCGCAAGTCTTTGCCTTTCTCCGTCAAAATTACTGGGTTTCTAAAATTATCATCTGGGTATCGAAGACAATTTCCCCAAAGAGAAATTTCAACGATTCGAAGCACGTCGTGGATTTGGGAACCCTAGGATTAATTTAATGGCTTCAGGGGCAATTTTCTCGTCGCTCCGGCGGAGAAGGTCGCCGACGTTGGAAGCGTTTCTGGCCCCCGTTGACCTGAGCAACGTGGCGTTGGTTCAGACCCTTGTCTCGGTTGCGGGCGAGCTTGTATCGTGCTTTTCGAAGAGTTCTTTCTTCTTTCAGCGCAAGAACTCGCGGTCTTTGATACGAAAAGTTGAGGTTTTCCAGTTGCTTTTGGAGTATTTGAGTGATTCAGGTTCGTATCTTCCACCTACCGCAGTGCTTTGTCTCAAGGAGCTCTACCTTCTTCTGTACCGGTCCAAGATTCTGCTTGATTATTGCGCCCAATCGAGTAAGTTGTGGCTTTTGCTTCAAAACCATTCCATTTCTGGTCACTTCCATGATTTGAACCAAGAGATTTCAACCCTTTTGGACGTTTTTCCAATTAAGGATGTTGAGTTGAGTAAGGATGTTAGGGAGCAGGTTGAGCTTTTGCAGAAGCATTCAAGGAGCGCTAAGCTTTTTATAGATATGAAAGATGATGCCCTCAGGGTTCGCTTTTTCTCTTTTCTTGATGAGTTTGAGAACGGAAGGATTCCTGATTCTGCTGAATTTCAATCTTTCTATGTTGAGGAGTTGCAAATTTTGGATGCTACCAGTTGTAGGAGTGAAATTGAGGCTTTGGAGGAGCAGATTGTTAATCATGAGGGTGACATTGAGCCTACTATTTCTGTGCTTAATGGCTTGGTGGCTATGACAAGGTATTGCAGGTTTTTGCTCTTTGGCTTTGAGGAAGATGAGCTTGATTTGGAAAATGGAAGTCAGAAGAAACCTAAAAGGAGATTGATTACTCAGGAAATTGCTGAAACATTTTTTACTGTTCCAAAGGACTTTTGTTGCCCAATATCATTGGATTTAATGAGAGACCCGGTGATAATTTCCACAGGCCAAACTTATGACAGAGGTTCCATTTCCAGGTGGATGGAAGAAGGCCATACTACATGCCCGAAAACAGGCCAAATGCTCGCCCACAATCGCCTCGTTCCGAATCGTGCTCTGAGGAATTTGATTGTGCAGTGGTGCGCTGCACATGGAGTTCCCCTTGACCCGCCAGAGGTCATGGATGCAGTGGGTGAAGGTTTTGCATCAGCTTGTCCCAGCAAAGCCGCCCTTGAAGCCAACAGAGCCACTGCAACACTTCTCATTCAACAGCTAGCTAATGGATCACAAGCTGGAAAGACTGTGGCTGCACGGGAGATACGATTGCTTGCAAAAACTGGAAGGGAGAATCGTGCCTTCATTGCAGAAGCAGGGGCAATTCCTCATCTTCGGAATTTGCTTTCATCACCTAATGCTGTTGCTCAGGAGAACTCTGTGACTGCACTGCTCAATTTATCCATTTTTGACAAGAACAAAAGTCGGATCATGGACGAGGAAGGATGTCTAGGATCAATCGTGGACGTTTTGAGATTTGGACACACGACGGAGGCAAGGGAAAATGCTGCTGCAACATTGTTCAGCCTATCAGCCGTGCATGACTATAAGAAAATAATTGCAGATAAGACGGGAGCTGTTGTAGCCCTGGCGGGGCTGTTGAAAGAGGGAACTCCAAGAGGAAAGAAGGATGCTGTAACGGCTTTATTCAATCTTTCCACCCACACTGAGAATTGCGGTAGAATGATAGAGGCAGGGGCAGTAACAGCTCTAGTTGGTGCTTTGGGGAATGAAGGAGTTGCAGAAGAAGCGGCAGGTGCACTGGCCTTGGTCGTACGGCAGCCTATCGGGGCAAAAGCAGTGGTGAATGAGGAAGCAGCAGTAGCTGGATTAATGGCAATGATGCGTTGTGGAACGCCGAGAGGTAAAGAGAATGCGGTTGCAGCATTGCTTGAATTGTGCCGGAGTGGAGGCGCAGCTGCAACAGAAAGAGTGGTTAAGGCTCCAGCTTTGGCTGGATTACTTCAAACCCTGCTTTTCACAGGGACAAAGCGGGCAAGAAGAAAAGCAGCTTCACTTGCTAGAGTGTTTCAGAGGTGTGAGAATGCATCTCTACATTACGGTGGATTAGGTGTAGGCTATGCCTTTGCTAGCAATTCAACTACAACTAGGGATACCAGCTTTGCCGGTGATGTTTCAGTGCCAATGTCCATTTCTGTTTTATAGTGGTTAAATACTTCTGTGTTTATTAAGTTCCCAATTTTTGTTGCAAGTCTTTACTGATTCTTTCATTGAAATTTAAAGTCATAAGAAATTATAGCAATACCATATGTATTCTAAAAGGTTGACCAGTGTTGTTGAGCAGTTAGCTTCAACATATATGTAATCAGTTAAATGAAGCAAGAACGAGAATGCTCCACAAAAGAGTTAAGACCATTTCAGGTGTCATATTTTTACCCCTTGTTTATTCAATTTAAGGGATTTCTCGTACGGTAATTCTACTTATTTTCCACACTCGATGATTATCATAGGCCCATAACTATGCACATAAGCAATCATATCACTTGTAATTGGGAACTTCTTTTTCCACACACTGATAAACAATCTTTTATTATTTGTCCTCAAAAGTGATCTTCCTAGCATTTTCCATTGCATGTATATCGTTAACCATGACATATGCTTAAAGGGGTACTAAAACCGTAACAATATTCGTGTGTTGTAATTTGATGTAATGATCGGTGCATGACGCGTGTTTGAATGAATTGAAATTGGCAATGTTCCGATTGAGTTGTGTCTAGCTGGATATTCCCGCGAGTATGCTTGAAATGTGTTACATGCAGGATACTAAATAATTCCTTAGTTAGGAGAGTCCACTAATTTATCTTTAAAGAAGAATCTAGAATAGACCGTATGGATGAATGTTGTATTCTTTTGTGCACGATGACATCAATTGACTTTTTATTTGGCATAAAGTGAGAACGAAGGTAGATCACAGAAGAGATGCTTGCTGGGTGCCTTGACTCTCCATGTGTGTTTGTGTTAGCAATGGTAGAAGGGTACCCTTTTTGGAGAAAATTCTTCTAGTTTTTTTATGAGGATCTTGAAAAGTAACTTAGAAGATATTTCAAAGATGGGTATTATTCTTGAAATTAAAGTAATTGCCAATGGCCCCTTTCAGTGGTGCAGGATGCCCATTACACTCATCACTTATTCTTCTGTCTCATAATCACGCAGATGACCCAATTACCCTTCCTCCAATCACATTTTCCATTCGTGGACCTCGTCAGCGTTATATTAGGCTCCTTCGTTTTTAGATTTTTTTTTTCTCTTTTTAAATATTTTTACAGAAAATAGGAAACTGAAAATAAAAATACACTTTTTTAAAAGTAAATAGCCCCTTAATTTGTCTAAGAATTTGTTTGGTTTTTATTTTTAATAATAAAAAGTGGCAAATTGTTTTATTTTGTTTTTTAATTGTATAATTTTTTTTTTACTATTTTACTGTTTTTTTATATAAATCCTTGAAAATAAAAATTAAATTAAAAATAATGTGATATTTTGTCAAGGAATTGTTTAGCCAAAGAAAAGTAAGAAGGGTCCTTGCAAGCACTGGTTTAGAAATTATCTCAGATGTGGATTGAAAATTGGAAGAGAAATATATTGTAATCCTTTTCAATAGTTAGTCAGGGTCTAGGCACCTATTAATATTTCTCATATAAGAAAAAACTATTGAACGGAATCGAATTTTCAATGTAAAGAATAGGATGCTGAACGATTTTTTTGTAACGCTAGTTTCTTTAAAAGAAATGGATAAACAATAGTTTCAATGTTTATGCCCCAGCAACATTTTGAATTCCATGGTCAAGGATTCAACGTAGATTGTTTAGACCATCTCTTTTTGTGAAGTGATTTGAACCTAAGTTGTCCCTCACCTCCGTTAAACACTCCTGAAACTAAGAGGAAATTTGCAGGTATTAATTAAACAAACATGAGTCTAATTGCTCATAACAATTCCATAATAACCATTATCTTCTTGAGATTTTTTTGTGACATGGATGAGGTAATGTGGGGCGTGTCTTCTTCAGCTGAGTATTAAGTATTCATGACTATATGAATGGTAAAGTAAGTGGAGGCATACAGCGGACACATACATGAAAAACCATTGGAGATTCTACCCCAAAATATAATTAGACACAGGGTGGTAGTTGTGGTTGAGTTTTATGCTTCAATTGGACTAAGAATATTGTTAATCATGACATAACACTGATTCTCAATTGCTTTGTTGATCCCAAGCCATTATTAGCCTTTATTGCTCCATCATTTTGTCAAACCAAGAACCAGCCCAAGCGGAGCCTCCTTGGTCAGCAATGGGTTAGTTATCTTTTGCTAGTAAAATTTGTATAACTTGAGTGTTTCTGATAATATTCACTAATCAAAATTAAATTTTAATTTTGAAAATTCATGTTAACATTCAATTTAACTAATTAAAATTATCCACTAATCAAAATCGTAGTAATGCATGAATTATTAAGATGAAATTTTAATTCATAAATAATACTAAAATTACTATGATATCACATCTAAGTTGTCGTATAAAAAATTGCATAACTCGAATGTTTCATTGACAAATGTTTTGTAATAAATGTAGACTATAACATCAGATCTTTGTATCTTTAAATTTTACAATCAAATTTCTTGTCAAAATTAAACTTTAGTTTATTAATTTGGCATCCTTTAGTCGAACTTTTACTTTATTCAAATTGTTTTCTCACTTTTTTCTTTATTTGATGATTTCAGCATTATTCTCACTCAATTCGAACTGCTCTCTGTCTCTCTCTCTCTCTCTTCCATTATGCAAATATACCATGTTATAGAGCAGAATATTGTCTCATTTCCCAAACAAACTAATGGTTGAAAACTTAATTAATTGTGCTATATGTAAAAGGTGAAATTAAACAATTAAAATATAAACAAAATTCAAGTTATGAATTATGCTCTCTTTTTCTAACTCATTCTTATTTTGAATTTTGAAGGAGTGAAAAGAAATACAAAAAAGGAAGAGAATTTAATGGAAGTGTTAGAAGATATACAAAAGTGGATTGATATAAAAAAAAATAACATTTTATATAATCATGATATATTTATAATATAAATAAATAAAAAATTAAGAAATAATTATATTCTGATTTTATTTAAAACAAAATGTATTTATTATTTACAAAAGAAAATTTGAACAAGGGCACACACAACATAAAATAGTTAATCTATTGTCATAAATCCATGTTTTTGCCTCATAAAAAAGAATCTTTCATCCCCTTTTTTTTTCTTGGAAAAGGAAAGTGTCCTGTGTAGTCCCATTCTTATTTATTTCCCGTTTTGCAGTTGTAATTTGAACAATAACCAATTTTTAACAAATCTTAGTTGTCTAAAGTTATGTGTGGTTTTCGCGTAAATGTATATCTGTCGCATTGGGCAATTAATTAACTCTGAATATCTCAAAATCAATACTTTTTCTCAATTTTGTATATATCTCATTATGTTATATCACAATTTATCATATCATATAACTTATGAAATTTGAATAAGATAACAATAAAAGATATCATTACATTAATTTGGCGTATAGTTCGTGTTAATTATGTTTTCATTCTTTTTTATGAAAAAATTACAGCAGTTTCCTTACACTTATCTCGCATTTTATTATTTTTTTAGAACACTAAAATATGATCCATTTATAAATATGAGATGGGAGAAATATGTACAATTTTTTAAATACAATGAATGCTACTTAAAAAAAAAAATACTTTCCTCAATTTTTTAAATATTTTTCTTGATAGTGTCTAGCATAGCAAAGGAAGTAGGTGTATTTTTTCAATTAAAAGACATAAGTAAAATTAGTAACTAACTAAAGAAGATAATGCAGTTATCCCGTTAAAATTATGGCCATTTGTTATTACATAAAATTTTAAGAGAATGAAATGGTAATTAAAATAAAGGCAAAAAAACTTCCAAATTCAAAAGAGTTTATTTTCCTCCACTTGACCATCTCCCTAATATTACGTTATAGCTATTTGACAACATAAATAGTATGATGACAATCCTAAAATCGTATTCGGAAATGTTAAATTAAACATAGGGAAAATAATTGTGGGCTTAGACGGGGCTCTCCTTATAGACTATAATCCAGTTTGATTAAAATTGATGGTCATCTTTAGGCAATAACGGTTATGTTCACAAGTGTAGAATTCCAATACGAAAGGCACTCAACCCAATCAGCAAAAACAACAAAAAAAAAGAAGGAAAATCGTTATATTAAATAAATAAAAAAGTCGAGTCCGAAAAATAATTCAATTGAGTAAGTTTCATAAGTATTATATTAAACGTCTTATTTTATTCGATATAAAATTTATAACATAGCTATTTCAAAAGTTGACATATACAACATACTCAATTATCAATATTCAAATCATTTTTATTACACTACAATCAAGTTTATAAGTAGTATTTGTAAGTATATGAATAAGATTATATAAAATTAAAATACTAAAAGTAATTAAAAATATTAATAATAATATAATAGAATTTTAAATTTATTTATTGAAAACATATCTTTTAAAGAAAAAAGTTGTTATACTCAAGTTTTGAATTTTGTGACAAATGATAGATTAAATCTTTTTCTTTAAATTATACTTTCAAAACAGAATTCTCGGCAAGTTTTGAAATAACTTATGTACTTGCATAATTATTAGTCATCACATAAGAAACTTAACCATATTAAGTACTAATCTTAATTCATTTCTATTAGAAACTCTTGGTTCTTACCTTACACTTTAATTCACACTAATCAATTACAAATATCAAGTTCAAATAAATTGATCACTTAAATTAATTAACAAGCTTGCTTATATATTTTATCTAGATCATGAATTAGCATGTTCTTATTAAAAACAATAACAATTGATTGTAATTTAACTAGAATTATTAGATAGTTCTAACATTTTGTTACTTAAATTTTAATAAAAATATCACTTAATTATTATAACTTTACCATATGAAGGGAATTCAATCTAAAAGACTTATAACATGTTTAGATTCACTTTCAAATGAGCATGAAATCACATTTATTTCAATATTACTATAGGTTTTTATTAGATTCATATTTACAAAAAAAAAAATTCATGCATTTTCAAACATATATGTAGTCTCTTAGATGAAAGAATCATACAACTTAAGTAATACATTAAACAATTTATTTTACTCAACCAATAAGTCATAACAAAAAATTCAATTTATAGAAATTTAGATATTCAAAAACTTATCCTAGGCTCACAAAGTAGCAATCTATACTCATTCAACTTTTCTTTATGCTCTTACTGTATTTTTAAGTCTTTTGAAAAAAAAATATCCTTAATTTTAATCATTACTAAAAAATCAAGAATGAAACTGTTGTCATGAGTATAGAATAAATATTAACAAATGAGGTAATCTATTAACAAGCTGCATGAGAATATCATTATATGGGTGGGACATGCGGACGATAATGATGAAATCAAGGTGAATCATAAAAATGAAAGAAAAAGAGTAACTAACTCTACGCTTAAGGATTATGTTTCAGAAATGAAGTAAATATA